ATATCATCAATAAACACAATCACGAATTGATCCAGAAACGGCTTAAATATGCGATTCATGTAATCCATAAACACCGCAGGAGCATTAGTGAGTCCAAATGGAATTACTTGATACTCATAATGTCCATATCTAGATCGGAAGGCAGTCTTCGGAATATCTTCCTGCCTAATTCGGATTTGATGATAACCCGATCTCAAATCAATCTTTGAGAATACACAAGCACCCCTCAACTGATCAAGCAAATCATCTATGCGAGGGAGAGGATACTTGTTCTTGATAGTAACCTTATTCAACTGACGGTAATCAGTGCACAATCTCATGCTACCGTCCTTCTTCTTAACAAATATGACTGGTGCTCCCCACGGGGACACACTTGGCCTGATAAACTGCTTAGTCGAAAGCTCTTCAATATGCTTCTTTAACTCGGCTAATTCCGGTGGTGACATCCTATACGGAGCCAGAGAGATAAGCCCCACACCAGGCAATAGATCAATCGTGAACTCAATCTCTCTATGAGGCGGAAGTTGTGGAATTTCATCTGGAAACACATCCACAAACTCCCTCACCACGGAAATAGTGCCAATCTCCTCATGACTTCCGCCTACTAAACCCCCCACAAAGACATATCCCAATGCCCCGGCCCTCAAAGCCTTTCTAACCTGCAACACAGATAGATATGGGGAAGAACTAGTAGCAGAATAATCAGCATCAAGCACAATCCTTTTACCACAGCAGTCTATCATAGCACAGTTCTTTGACAACCAGTCCATACCCAAGATAACTTGAAGGCTGATCATAGGTAAACAAATAAAATCCAGCATGTAATCTCGGCCTTCATATTTGAACTCAACATCTTTACACAACACGGATGTATAACACTCATCCCCCGTAGCAGTAACCACTTTCATTGGAGGGCGAATGTCGTACATTTACAGATTTAGCCCAACGGCCATAAAATCAGACATACAGGAGTGTGTAGCTCCTGAATCAAACAACACTTCAACATCCATATTATCAATATAAATTGTACCTTTCACTAGATTCGGAGCCTTCTCCGATTGTTGACGGTCCATGGTATATACTCTACCAACCGTCTGAGACTCTAGCATAGGTGGAACAACAGAGACAGGAACAGCAGTAGCTTGAACTGCCATAGTCCTCGCTTCGTTCTGAGGACACTGCCTGGAATAGTGACCGGATCTTCCACATTTAAAACAGATCAATTCACCGGTAGCACATGGACCTCTATGCTCCTTGCCACATCCCTTGCACTTGGGAGGAGGTCCTCTATCAACAAAATTCTTCTGAGTCCCGGGCTTTTTGAACAAGTCAAAGGGCTTATTCGCATTCAGCTTCTTGCCTTGCGCCTTCCTGTTCTTCCAATAACCTGAGCCCGTTGCTTTATTGGAACTAGGTGTCTGGGCCTCAAAGGACTTCTTGGTTTGGGACACCTTATACACTTCTTCCACCTTCCTACACTGGTTTACAAACCGACTGAACTCTCGGATGTCACAATTTTACATCTTCCGAGACATCTTCTCATTAAGACCCCATTGGAACTTGGAGGTCATTTCAGCCGGAGTGGGTAAGGCTCGCCCATAGTTGGCGTATTTCACCAACTCATTGAATTTTGAGAAGTATTGGTCAATAGACATCGACCCTTGCTTGAGATTGTTGTACTCATTCTGCTTTTGTTCCCTAGCCTCTCTAGGGAAGTAGTTGTCCAAGAATGACGTCTCGAACAACCGCCATGTGATCTCCCGACCTTCAGCTTCTAATGGCTGCACGGTATTGGTCCACCAATCTTCCGTTTCCTCTTCCAGCATATAAACAGAGTAAGCCAACTTCATTGCGTCAGGGCATCTCATCACTCTGAAGATTTTCTCCATCGCTTGGAGCCATTTTGCAGCCGCCATTGGCTCATAACCTCCCTTAAAAGAAGGAGGTTTATGTTTTTGGAAAGCCATCAATCTTCTTTCCTCCACTACATGGTCACCGACATTTTCGACTCGAGGTTGACGAACCTCAGTGTGATGACTCCGACTTCCAGAATGGTGACTACCCTCACCTTCATTGTTACCCTCTACACCCTCTTCCTGTGAAGGAGATGGAGAAGGCGTAGCAGTGTGAGGAGGAGGAGTGGGTTGCCGGTTCACGGGCCTAGGACCCCTCAACGTCCTCAACTCAGTCATCATTGCGGCCATGGCAGTCCGCGAGTCTTCATTTGTTTTCATTAGATTTTCATTGGCTTGCCTGCTAGCAGCCAACTCCCTCTGAACGGCTGCAAGAGCTTCAGCCACGGGATCAGGCTGTACGCCCGTTGCCCCACGGCCACTTCTAGGCCTCACAAGAGCAGCCAAAACAGGTTCTGGCTGAGCATTGGTGTTTGATGGTCCGGGGTTGTTTCGGTGCCTCGTCATGTCACTACACATGTTACACAAAGGAGTGAGTTGATCAGGCCCACACATAGTGATCACAAATGCAATAATCATACAGAGTACTAAAACAACTATAAAGCATCAAACACTAAGCATACTCAACAATAACTAACAGTTATTCCCTACGAAACTGCTCTGATACCATAAAATGTGTAACACCCCGTTCTAGAACCGGTTTGTTAACATCGCATTATGATATTAAGCGCAGTTACAATCAAACGGGTTCAATTAAAATCCGGATAAATTTTTCATTTTAAAACATGCCGAATTTATAATACCCAATTTCGTGATCATAACCGTATTACCTTGCGGAATCAGATAAACTAAGCTTAACATCATGTTCTTATTCTATTTTTAAACCATTAATTTACTTCTTATTTATTTCACAACTTCTGCTATATTGTAGATCTCTTCATTAGCTATGCGTGACTTCAAACCGCGCTCAAATCGGAGCACTGTAGCCCAAGTTAGGACAATTTGAAGCAACACAAGAGAGTGTTGGTCACAGGCCCCGCGCGCTTCAGCGCGCTACTGGGCGCTCAAGCGCGCGCTATCGGGCGCTAAAGCCTCCATCTGGGCGCTTAAGCGCACGGAGGCAGGAAGCATCAGGTGCTTCAGTGTAAATGGGCGCTTAAGCGCGAACCAGGGCGCTCAAGCGCGCTTTCCTGGGCGCTTCAGCCCCACCCTTGGCGCTAAAACTCGAGGGGACAGTAAGCATCCCATCTTTCTACAGCGAAGGGCGCTTAAGCGCAAGCCAGGGCGCTCCAGCGCGCAATCCTGGGCGCTTCAGCCCCCACTTGGGCGCTCTAGCGCGAGGAGGCCGAATGCATTGGCCCTCACAGGGGCAGCAGGGCGCTTGAGCGCGCTCCTGGACGCTTAAGCGCGCTGCCAGGGAATTCCAATTCCCACATTCTGAAGTCCAAGTCTAAACCCCAATTGTCCATGCTCCAAAGCTAAATCCTAGCACTCATCCAACCCCTTCTCATGAGATTTAGCTAGAGTTTGGGCAGCATAACCTTTGTTTTCTCATCGTTTCCCAATTTAAACAAAAGGTACCTAATTGATTCTCAGCCCAACCAATTCAATAACTCAATACATAACAAGCATGCATATATTGAATTTCAAGTAGACATCATTTATATTACATATCCATTACAAATCATGGAACTTAGCTTACAAAACACTATGATCATTCCCTTGGCTCCCATCAACAAAGGAGGTGACCAAAGGCATGAGCATAGGCTAAGTCCATTCCAATATACAAATCATAAATCTAGCATTGCCTATTCATTACAATTCTATACATGTGAGCTACAAAACAACATGTACAATCTCAAAAGAAATGCCACATTTCATGCATAATCCAGATATGGCCACTTGCCACCAGAGGCTCCTGCAGCATCCTTACCTGAAAGGGGGCCCCCACAACACGGGGTGAGATATACGAATATATCCAGTAAACCAGGGGTCCTTGGAGCATCTCTCCACCCCACAGTTCCATATCAGTGTAATAGCAATAACAATAATAATGCAGTAAATACATATCTATGCAAAGTGCAATACATCTCCAGGAGCAATCCCTCGAGCTCTCAAGCTGTCCTAAGGAAACTAGATGCAAATAGTCCTACTGGCCAGCTAACTACCAAATATGATTTACGCATCGTCATGCAACATACCACATAGGGAAACACCATCCTATGCCACACCAAATGCATACACATACGTATAACAAAGCATTACACTATTTCATTGCATTTATATACACTATAATCACCACTACCCTTTCAGGGCTTGGTGGAACAATCAAGGGAATTACACCCAAGGTCCGAAGGCTTACCTCAAAGCTTCCGTTCAACCTTTGTTCACCACCAACGGTTCAGCAACCAATCAACTTTGGTTTCAACAATTACTTACAAGTAACACACCTACACCAAGGTGCCATAGCATCAATCATACTATACAATGAATATTCATATATACTCATTAATACCACAACAACTCTACATCCCAACTTAGCAAGAGCTTACCTATTCCAAGGAGCTACTCAAGCTCCAAAGCTTGCTCAAGCGGTTGATCACTCACGGTCGGTCCAAATGTCTCAATCTTATACATCATTAGGACACAATCATCAATCAACCAAGCCAAACCATTTATTAACAATGCAAGAAATCCAATATCAAGCATCATATTCTTGCCATTTTACAAGTATACTCATTTAGCTATCTAAGCTCATTTTCACCGATTAAATGTCGTTCCTAGCATTTTTCACAACATGCTCTAAGCTCCATTCTTCCTAGAACATAGCTAATTTTAACAACATTTCATCAAAATCCCTAAACACTATTCATAAACCTTAACTCATGCAAATTTCAAGGAATCATGAGGTTCAAGGGTTAGAATCTTACCACCAATGGTCACACAACCGATGATTGATGGCTCCTCAAGCTTCAATGGAGGTAGAAACGCTCAAAACCCCAATTTTCACCAAAGGGCTAAATTTTTGAGAGCCAATATCTCACCACACAAAGCTCCCCACTTAAAACTAAGCTTGGATTATGAAAGAGGGCGAGATTCTAAGCGATTTAGGCTTTTGAATCACCCAAAACCGTTGGGATTTGCTCCCTCCTCTCTCTCTTCTTCTCTCTCCCTTTCTCCTCCTTCTCCTTCTTCTTCCTTTCTTCTCTGTTTCTGTCGACGGGAAAGTGGGGGCGTTTAGGGCTCATTTTGGCTTTTAGTCACTTAACATAGGTTAAGTGGCTTTAAGCGGGTATTGGTTCGTCTATCTATTCAACTTCAATAATTACCAAACTTTACCCAAAAGTCTGAAATATTATTCTAGGAATATTACTATTTTTATTTTTATATTTTGGGCACTTTCACCAGTACCCATTTATACCCCTTAAGTTTCACTGAGTACACTTTTTAACTCCAAAGTGACTCAGATTCATTTAATTAAGCATTATACTTAATTTTACCCAGTAAAACATGCTTAATTAATTAATTACACTAGATTTACTAATTAATTAAGTTGGGCTATTATACATAGTGACCACAACACCACACGGGGTTACATATTGGGCTCTCCGTTTCGGAGTACCTAACGGTTCACCTTGTTTATTCTTCTTTCAGACAATTCATATGATCTACCTCTTCTGTCATTCGTTCTCCATATAGGGCTCTAGAGATAAAGGGGCAACAGACAAGTAAACAGAAACATAAATAGTTTAAAGAAATTTCAAGTTTGCTACAAGGCTAGTTAAGTAGTTATGCATGTATAGACAGGACAATTTGTGCCTGCATGTGTATGCATTTGACTTAAGTGTACATTTTGAAAAAATGGATAAAGCAAAACTAGTATTGCAGATTATAACCCACATCATATAATTAGCAAGTGCCATTCTCTGTTGCATGTTCCAGTTTGCTGAAACAAAATGAGTTGTCCAACCATCCTTCAGTTTTTGCTCTTTCAACGTAGTGTGCAAACTGATTCTTAGCATCAGGAACATCCAAAGCCAAGTCGTCAAGAGATTCAGCTACCCTTCCAAAACCTTTGACCATTTGATACATGGTTATTAGTCCTGAATCAAAACACTCCTTTAGTAGACCCCATAACCTCTCATTCTTCTTTTCAATTATTGTCACCAAAGCTTTCTTAACAACTTCATGATGGAAAAATGGCATTCCTAACTCTTTCATGCAGCGACAAGCCTCTCTTATGTCACCACCAGATTCATATTCCTCCAACAGCTTCCCAATCATGTCTTTGACATCTTCAACTGCCCATCCAGGCCTGCTGCTTCCACCACCACCCCAACACCTCAAAATTCGCTCCCCGGCGAGTCTAGCCTTTAGCAATGACTTAGCCATTTGAAGCACTTTGTTCCCAATCGAATCTGGCCCCAAACATTGTGTTCCAATCTCTTCAAGGTGTTGTGGAGCTAGGACTTCATCAACTACTGCTCTAGCAAGAAACATAGCTAGATCCTCAACAACAACAGGATTATCAAGAGCAGTGTCATCTGCTGATTCAATTAACATCACAAAACCACTCACAACATCATCAGCTGGGAAACACAAAGATGAAAGCAACACAGATGCCATTTCCTTCTCCCTATTCTTCCTATCCATTGCAAGAGTTATCAGCTTCTTAACAAAGATTGCATTGAGTTCACCACAGTTGTTGCTGTTCTCTTGTTCTAGACAACTACTTACCTCCAATACATCACCTGATAAGAAGTACTCTTTAATGATTGACTGAGTCTTTATCTTGAAACTTCTTGCAGCATTATCTTTTATTGTGTTCTTTTCAGGCTCAACTGAAAGTGATTTCAAAGATGACACACACAACCAACCCTCAGATGCTGCTTTAGACATTAGTTGCTGCAAGATTCCACGCGCATTCGGTATGTCAAGTGATAAGTCATCAACTGTGTCAATCAACCTATCAAACCCTTTAGACATTTGGCTAGAGTTGATGAAACCCTCTTCAGCTGCCTCCTTCAACAAGTCTAGTAGTGGTGGTTCAGCTTGACGCCTTTCCATTGCCATTATAAGAGCCCTTTTCACTATTTCATGGTGGAAAAAAGGAACTTTCAAATCTTTAATGCACCTAAAAACTTCTTTCTTGTCACCACTTACTACATACTCCTTCAAAAAATTGTTTATCCTAGCCTTCACTTCATCAACTGTTGTATTCTTACTACCTCCCCAACGCCTTTCTATGATTTCAGCATGTAGAGGTGCAGCTAGATAGCTTTTCTCAGCTTTTTTCAAAACCTCAACCCCTTTTGAATCTTTAGGTAAGTAGGCCATCTGTTTCTTCAAAAATGCAGGAGGAAGTATGTCATCAACCACGGCTCGGGCTAAGAAAAGCGCAAGAACATCAACTGTGTCCGGTATATCTACAATTAAGTCATCTGCTGATTCAACTAATTTGCTGAAGCCTTTGTAAACTTGTGTAGGATGAAATAGGTCACCATAAAGTGCAGATAACAGAATAGCAGCCATTTCTTTTTCCTTGTCATCTCTGTCCATTGAAATAGAGACAAGTTTTTTGACAAAATAGTAGCTATACTCTGGTTTTCCAAGCTCTCTAAGTTCATTTATTGTTGCAACAACATCATCAGTGGCAAAGTATTCCTCCACTATTATTGTAGCTTTTTTCTTGTAGTCCAGCAGTTCGGTTGTCCTTTTATTTTCATTTGAATTGCCATATTCCTACAAAACCATAAGCACTTTCATAGTTGTTGGTGTTTCAGAAAAATACACTTTTAGAACAAAAATAAGTGACCAAAGATTTGATCCATAAATTATAAGTCGCCATTATTAAATAATGAGAAGTCTTAACTCCCTACCTCACTGCTGTCATAGTTTGGGTCAGCGGGATCAACAACGTTCATGTCATCTGTGTCAAGCAATCCACCCCAGGTACCTTTCCCCCCAGAGCCACCTGCACAATGAGAGTAGGATAAACAGGTTGTTCCTTGGAATTTAGGGAACACAAATATTTATCATAATATTTGAGATTCATTAACTCAAAATAATCGTCTGTGATCTTGTCAGACTAGAGTCACTAGACAATTCCATTCATTGCTTTGTGATAAAAAGTAAAATTTCGGCAAGGTAAGTAGACTTATGCATTGTTCATATTTCAAGTTTAGAGGGCTCTTGTGAAGGGACATATTAGAAATATAATATAAAATCATTCATGTATCTTGTTTAAACTTTTCGGAGAGTTATTTCATGATACCATGTACATATAAATCATTTTATTAATAAAACTCATAAATCAAACTCTAGACCACCGGGTTATAAAGGATTTGATATATGTCAATACCAAGTATCCCAAACATTTAAGTTGTTAGGTGAACGTACATGAATGAGTTATATTAAACATTAGTTATGAAATTTTTTAGGGTAATACAATTATCACCTAACAAGAAAATAATGTCACTTTCTTGCTGACACATTCATAGGTGGGTCCCAAAGAAATTTTTTCTCTCACCTCATTTTCTCTTCTCTCTCTTGATTTTTTCTCTCTGCAGGAAGCAACACTGTTTTCCTATTACACGAGAATTGTATTACGCAATTTTTTATCTACCTTATATTCGAATGTTTTATAAACAGGTTTCCAAGTATTTATAAAATTAGGATGTCCAATCATCATGAGTCTCCTAAGACTAAATGAGAAGTGGCATCACAAGTCTATGACTATTACTTGTCATATATTTTATGGTAGCTACTTAATGGAAGAAGTTATAAAGTATTAAAAAGTGGAAACCGGTAATGAAAACTTCAACCGGTAAAGATTTTACCTTTCTTTGGACGTCCATCTTTTGGAGAATGTGATTGTCTATTATTCTTTGGACTTGGACTGCTACACTTGCCTTGTACCTTCGGGGACTTTGGAGATTTAGGAGACCTTGGTGAAAGATGCAATGGAGAAACAGATAATGGATCTGCACTTTCTGCTACAGTTTGATGAAGCTCACGATGCTCATTTGATACATAATCTTCACTGTAGTCCATTAGGCTTATTTCAAAACTTCCACTATATACTCACACATCAGAGGAGACTTCAATCTCTAATGTGCTTCTTGATTCAACCTTCTCTTTCTTTTGAATTATTTCATACCATTGATTATACCAAACTTGTGTATAAATTTGCATGTACACAAATGAAACAAATTAATCAGAATACTCAATATATAAAATCATAAACTTTTTTTTGGCAATACAAAGGGGCCAAAGGCTCAAATAATCAATGCTTTTGATAGCATGAATTGTGGTAGCAACTCAGCAAAACTTGACACAGGAATCGAACCGAAGAAAATAAAAAAGTGAACCATCCTTTTAAAATCCATGCAGATGAAACAGATTAGATATTAGATACATGAACTTTCTCATTAAAAAAAAAAAAAACCCTCCAAGTAATTTTGTACTTGGACATAATAAACCATTACAAATAATCAATATTCAACACTGTTTTCCATCAAAGTTTGGAGGAAAATCACATAAAGTTATATTATTACCTTGATCTGTTTTTCTTCAAAGAGACTTTTACAGTGTAAAATGTGCTTGGATTAGGTGTCTACAAATTTTATTGTTTTAACTTGGAAGATGAAATGAGTAACAGTTTTTTTTTTTCTCCTCGGGTAGTGAGTGATGCAAAGAGAATAAACATTGTTCAATGGTGGTTGCAAAATTTTAGGTGTTTGTATGTATTGTCGGAAATCAATACGGATCTTGAACAAGTTTGTCACGTCTACGATGTTACAGCTCCACATGCTTTCCCTATAGAAACGGGAAAAGAAAAATCCAAGGAGACCAAGTAATTGAATGTTACAGTTATTATTTATGCAATCTTTTACACCACATTTTGTTATTTACATTATTTTTAATTCATACACAAAATTGATAGAAGATATGGAATCTGCGCAAGGAGTATTCTCAATAAAATGGTGTATAGATTTATTTGAAGCGTTAAATTGCAATTATTAAAATAAAGAAATGATATCAAACTAACAAATATTGAAGAGCTAAATATGATCAAATAAAATGTGAAATTAGTTAAAATGAACTTCTATTCAAATTAGGGGAACTAAAAGTTCCTTAATTATCTATTTGTGTATGTAATATGATTGCCAACGCCATGAGTCTCTAAGGTCTCTAAAGCTATTTGAGGGTGCTAATCAAAAAGTGATTCTTAGAAATAAATTAAGATGTGAAACTTCCGTGGGAGCTTGCTCGCAAAATAAATCAATGTTATTAGAATCGGTCCGGTCGAGGTACTGGGTCATTAGTTCAATCAGTGAGACACTGGTTGAACCGCATGAACCGGTAATTATATGCAATTCTATAATTTATATTAAAAAATTATAAACATACTCAAAAATCTAAAAAAAGATAAAAATTTCAAATATTTTAATATAAAAATAATAAATCATACATTATTATCCAATAAAGGATCAAACAAAAATATAATGATCGTGATGCGGGACTTCATGTTCAGTAAATGACATCCCTAGCTATAAATCAAATCAAAATTTCCTACATAGTGCATAATTGAGATAGTATTAGTGTTATAGGTACATAATCTATATAAGTCAATAAGCAAAAAATACTCAAATATGTCCATTATGAATTTTTTTTTTTTGGAATATATATATATATATTTTTTGGGACCGGTCCGAGTCACTAGTCACTAGTCACCGGTTAACCGATCGGGTCACCGAGTTTCACTAAAACCAACTGAGTCGTACCGATTCTGATGCATGGCCTGTCTGTTGCTTCACCCAAACTAATTATGTGACCGGTTTACGTACTGATTCTCGGATCGACCCGGCCGGGTCAATCCGATTTTGTTAACATTGATATAAATCATATAATATCATATATTAAGTGAGAATAGATCTTTTAATGTGGAAATTTCAAATCACCATATCATGGGGAAAATCTCAGTTTTTCATTCGTAAATCAACGGCAAGTAATTAAAGTGACAACTTTCACTTCCTCCTTCCACTAATTTCTTCATTAAAACTATGTCCGCTGATCTATGAATGAATGAGATCTCCCACGTGATATTGTCATGCATGTAAAATTTCCACGTGAGAGAATTCCCTCCTATATTTAATGTTTGACCCCGATAAGTGTATGGCTAATAATCTCTAGGTAATATATTTAAAAAAAAATCTCAAGGTAAGGGATAAAGGTTGTTCAATAAATATCTCATATGCCAAGCATATGGACCAATTATATTTTAACCATTGATTTCCGCCAATCAACGATTATCATTTATTGTGAATTAATAATTAATTAAAAAATTTAATTTGCGAAAATCTTAACCGTTGATTGACGAAAATCAATAGTTAAGATATGATTGTAAGAAGTTGTAAACGAAAATAGGTTGTAAGTATAACCTTCCCCATATATAATACCAAAAAATATAAAGTTTAGAGAGGGGCGGCCGCCGACCCGCGCCCCTCCCCTGGGTCCGCCTTTGCAATTTGTAAAGAATCTTGGGAGCTCATTGGGCATGAAGAGTGGACAATGCACAGGCCCACTGAGACTCTGATACCACTTGATAAGAACCTTGGGATACACCACCCCAAAAGCTAGCTCAAAGGGTGAGAGTGCTCAAGGCCTTATAAACTCTACATTAGTTGCTTATACAACCAATGTGAGACTATATATATCAACACAATTGGTAAGGAATTATTCAAACTTAATCTTTTACAGCCGAGTAATCATATATTATATAATGAATGTATTGGCCAATTACTCGTACGAGTTTGGTCACTACCATTCCATTCGAAATGTGGAATTAAAGACAAAAAATGATTGATCACCTAAACCTAACTGCCTCTGACTTGAGGATAAACTTGACGCTTGTGTCTCGCACACTCGAAATATAGTTCTAACAGATTTGTGCAATCTATTCAAACTTATGATTTTTTATTTGAAGAGTTCAGATTGTCATCTCTAGAAAATCTTATTCAGCAATCTTTAAACCTAGTAAGGTTAATATCCATCTTCAGGATTTAGACACATCTTCTACTCTTCCTAAACCAACTTACCAAAAGGACGATGAAGATGAAGAACAATCAATTCAACCTTAAACACACTCCTCTATGAATGTACCTACGATGTTATCTAGGTTCAAAATAAATAAATAAATCCCCTAAAACAGACTTTAATTACGGGGAACAGATTCGTCAAAGAGAATAATATTTTCCACATTTTAAGGGAACAAACAGAAAACAAATTCAAGATGAAATTCATACTTTTCTTAACAAAGTTGAATTAAAAATTTCTTTCTTTGAATGGTTTCAAGTCTATTTTGTCCAACATAACAGTAATTATCCTTTCCAAACTCCCTAATCAACAAATGTCATTACTTATCTGGCATCTGAAGGATGGTGAGATCGTTATATGAACTATCTCCAACTGCTAGTTGTTACCAACTCCCGAATATTAGGGATAAAAAACACAAATCAATTGTAACTTCTCCTTTCAAAACTAAAGTTGGAAAGTGAACCAATAACACCCAAATATATTAAAAATCTTATGGAGTCTGTAACCAAGCCCATGACTGTTGGCCCAAGGAAGAGGAGCTTACCAGTTTATTTGAATGACTACCTATTGGGTTAGGTGATATAACAGCCCATAGGAATTATTAGGGGATTAGTGGGCCAGAAGATACATTAGCCCATAGTTATTGTTAGTAGTAATAGTTGTGATGTACGTAAACGTAAGGAGTCTATTTTAAATACTGAGGAGTAATAAGAAAAAGATATAGAAAATTTCCACCAAGCTCTCTCTCTATCTCTCTATTCTCTCAGATCTCCCTTCTCTCTCCTTCCCTAACAACTTTCTACTGTTGCATTGGTGCTTTCATCGAGCTTTAATGGCAGAAAACACTAGACTAAAGGATATGGCTCAACAGATCCAAGATCTACAGCTTCAGCGTCACTCTGCCGCTGAACAATGGACAAATTTCGAAATTAATCAAGATCGACGTCTGGAATCCTTGGAGCTCCACCAGACCCAGCGTTTTGATGATTTTCGTCAAGAGTTCCGTCAGCAATTACATGACATCATGACTCTCCTACAATCCAATCATGGTAATTCTTCACCCAGTAATTCTGGTGCAGGTCTTTTGGGTTCTGGTCCCACTCGTAATACTGGTGAACAGATTCGACCTCGTCCGATGAAAATGGATTTTCCCAGATTTGGATCTGGAGATCCATCTAATTGGTTGTTTGCTGTTGAAAATTATTTTCGTTTTTACCATGTCCCACCTGATGAACGATTATTAATGGTTTCTATTAATTTGGATCCACCAGCTGCTTGTTGGTTTCAAAATTTATCTGAGAGTCATAATTTTCCCAATTGGACATCCTTTGTTACCGCCTTATACCAACGCTTTGGGCCCACTGAATTTGATGATCCTACTATTGCCTTAGCCAAATTGCAGCAATCTACAACGGTTGCTGACTACCAAAATGCATTTGAGCAGCTTGCTCGTAGGGCTCCAGATTTGTCAAACACAACTCGTAAGAGTCTATTTCTTGCTGGTCTAAAACCCAAAATCTGTAGATCAGTGCTGATTCATAGGCCAGCGACTATGACAGAGGCTTTTGCCTATGCTAAAGTGTATGAAGAGCAATTACTGGAAGAACGCTCTGTTAAACCATGGTCTGTGCGTTCTACTGTGCCCCAAAATACTCATGCCCAAACAGTAACCCATCCACCTGACACTAATCTCACCATACGGCCACCCAATCCCACACCCAAACAGTTTCCAGCATTACCTAACATCCCTATCAAAAGACTATCACAAGAAGAAATGGCTGCCCGAAGAGAAAAGAATCTATGTTACAATTGTGATGAGCGTTTTATGCCTGGCCATAAGTGTAAGGGGCGTGCCTCTCTATTGTATCTGGAAGGAATAGAGGATGCACCTCCAGATGACGATTATGTACTGCTTCAGACAGTAGAACCCTTGACTGAACCAAGCCCATGTGACC